GCGACGCATTATCACAAGTGGCCGCCCACACCTACGAAGTGGGTCACGATTTTAACTTCGCAGCCATAAAAATAGTCGCCCACGCCAAAAACAAAACAGGTCGAGAATTGATTGAAACCTGGGCCTCGGATTAGAACTCGGTCAATCGATTTATCGATCTGGCGCCGGCATACGGAGCCCTGCGCAGTTACCTCCAGTTTTGCGCCATCGGCCGATGATTGCTGCCACAATATCCAACGTTGGACTCCTATACGAGTCTGAATGCTCAGGAAAATAAACAAAGTATTCCAGTGCTCGACTCTTCTTCTTCATTTATGATAATGGAAAATGCCGTGTGAACTTAAAGCACGCCTCGCTGACCGTCCGCCATACAACCCTTTTCGGTCAAATTCCCGAACCAGGACTCACCTGCAAGGACGAAGAAAAAATATGCGTCGCCCTATTCTGCAGCTTATATATGGCAGAAAAAGAAACATACTGGAATGTCCAGGGTCGAATCGAACTCGGACCAATCAGATAATGGCCTTGTACGGTTGGCATACCGGATGGGCTCCTGACCCATCTGACTGGTTGAGTAAACTTCCAATCCTGTCAGGAGTTGGCGCGATATCAGCACGCGCACGGTGTGTGCGGATCGCCTAGGCGACACGTTAGTATGCCGGGTTGGATGGCACTTCCTAACGATTCGCTCCTTTGAGCTGAATGGTATGATTTGAGCCTCTGGCTCACTTACGATTGTACGGTTTTCATTGGTGTTCGGGGCTGAGGTCATCGTCTTGACACTGGAAACGTAGTTTCCTATCGTGATTTTGGCAAATTTAATGTGTCCAGTAGTATTTCTAACGATAGATTTTGACGCCGATTCGGAATATCAGTGCATTTGGTGTGTCTCAGCTGAACGGCACGTTGAACCCAAATGTCTTATCCGAACCGAATCTCATAGACGACGCCACCATATTTTCAGTTAACACGTCCAAGTGTCCAGAAGTCCTGATTGCTTCTGTGCTCTTTTGCCAGCACATTCTTACGCGGATTGAACGAGCACTGCTTTACTGCACGGCGCCGGTTGAATTGCCGGCAAGACCTTGTTTCATTGCCGTACCTGTTAGGGGTTAGTGGTCAGGGTTAGGAGTTACGGGCTAAGGTTGGGGGTTAGTGGTTGGTCGTTAATCAGGAGCTTGTCTGCTGCAGGTACGGCTACGAAATTAGATTCGACCCGAGTTGCCTCTCTACCAACGTCGGACAGAATGTTTTACGACCGACATCCCTAGGTACTCTGAAAGATGACGACAGACGAATTATATTGAATGGTGTGTGACGCTGCCTCCGCATCAGAGCCGCTGCCGCAGAGGCACCGTCCAGAGAATTCGGGTTCGAGATTGCCTGATGCTTCGGTAAAAAATATTTCGAGAAATTCTTCCATGGACTCATTTCTTTTATATGCTGGGGAGCCAGTTTGAAAGTGTCGACTAATCGCTCAACATGTCTGTTAAACTATAGATGATATGGTGGTGAATGAAAGTGATCAATGTCTGACAACTATTAGAATATGGTGAAGGCGGTTGGTGTTAACTGCCCTTTGTCATCGTACATAACATTTTCCCGACTAGTAATTCTGATGAACAGTCCCCGAAGTGTGTTTGTTGTGGCTCCCGTATCATATGTTCCATTAGGAAGGCTTCCGATCAGGTTAGCAAACGTAAGAGATCCGGATGGATAAAATGAGGAAAGGGTAGTGCTCAGCGGATCGAGGGAATTGTATGGCTGACGTTTCAAAGAACTTGGGCGGCTCTCCATTATCAAAGCGTCTAGTACAAAAATCGGTCAGAATTTTGTACAAGCAGCCGAGGTTGTTGGCCTTGAGATGATCGATTTTTTCTTCTTTCGCTGTCTTGGCCTACTGGCCGTCGCTTGTGAGTGTTGGTGGCCTCCTGTATTGTGTCGTCACCTCAATTGGGATTAGTTGCGTTTGTGTCCCTTTTTGGGTGAATTGGTCGACAGGCCGTGTTTGCTAGGTATTCTTAAGCTCCATATGACTGTCCTGTGTTCGTCACGGCGTATGTAGTGACGTAGGGCTTTGTGGGCCGCAGGAAGGTCTAGATGCCTGTTAATGGAATTGGCATCTGAGTACCCAGCCTCAAGCGTGAGACGCTCTGTGCTTGAGGTGCCCCGATCTAAGACGGCTGCTCATCGAAGTCAAAACTGTGGCCAGTTTCTCCGATGTGGGTCGCAAGCTGTGAGTTCGGGTCTAGTTTCCGCGTTGCCAGTTTATGCTCAGCTGGGTTGGTTTACAATTTACGTCCGACTTCCCCAACATAGTTGCAGTCTCCATCGTTACAACATATTTGATAGACAAGTGATGAGGTTTCAGTGGGTGACAGTATGTCTTTGGGTTGCATCAAACGGCGAGGAGATGTTGCATGGGGTCGACGGGCAATGCCATCCCTGGCGGGCTGTAACAGTCGTGAAACCGCCACGGAGACTCCTTTAATGTAAGGAAAAGCCTTCCAGACTTCGAGTCTTTCTTCTTGTGGCCGTCCTCTGTCCACTCGGCCCTTGGTTTGCTTAATAAAGTAGCTGGGTATCCATTGGCTCGAAAGAGGTCATGAAGGTATTGTCGTCCAATTCTTTTGCCGGCTGGAGTGCTGCAGTGTGTTTCAACTCTTTGGAATTGAGTACGGATACAGCTGCGTTTGTGAGAGAGGGGGTGATTGCTGTTGAAGTGTAGTATTTGTCTTGTGTTGGTGGCTTTTCTGAAAACGGGCTGTATTATCGTATGAGGCCCATGAAATGTCGCAAGGAAGGTGCATTCTTCGCCGGAGAAATCTGCTTAATGACTCCAGTGTTATATGGGTCCAGATGAAGACCAGCTCGGTCAGTTATGGACCCAAGGTATTCCACGGAAGGCATAAACATTTCACTCGTCCAGTCGTAAGCGGAAGCTGTAGTCTTAAATCCGGCTAGGCACAGTCTTCAAGCACGCAACAACTCCTTGGGACTCGAACTCGTTGGAGAATTATCTAAATCCAACATTCATTCGAATCGGGCTATTTGCCCGTCGATTGGAAATATGAACGGATCACGCCACTTTATAAAGGCGGAGGCAAGGTCTTAGCAAACAACTGCAGACCAATCAGCCTTACTTCATTTTGCTTCAAAATTCTGAAAAAAGCGTGAAATAAAGTGCTTACTAGAACAGTATAATCTGCTATGCGATACTCAGCACGGATTTCGTGGGGAGAGATCATGAGTGACAAAATTACTTTATTGTTTAGAACGCTGTGAACAGGCAGCTGCTGGCGGCAATGCAGTGCACGCAGCCTATGTCGACTCTAAGAAAGCATTCGATAGTGTACCACATCAGCGCCTCCTGTACAAATTAAGCCAAACAGGCATTAGGGGTAATCTCCTGAAGTGGATCCAAAGCTTCTCGATCGGTCGCTCTCAAATTGTTCACATCGGTGACGGGCAGTCAGCGGAGGTAGCGGTCGAAAGCGGTGTTCCTCAAGGCTCCGTCC